GGGGCTGTGCTCTTAAAGTTTCCCATATTTTAGAGTTTTGTCCAGAGCATGGTGAACAAAACACATTGCTGTGCTAGGGAATGTGCTTTTGATTGGGATACATTTATAACACATTTGTTATAATGATAGGAACCACATTTGCTGAGAAACTAGTAAGTTCTAAACATTATGTAGATAATACACACAAAATTTCATTTCATCCTCATAAATTTGCCCAGCTGCTATTATTTTTCCCATTTAATAGACACAAAAAGTTTAGTAAATGGCAAAGCCAAGACAGGTATGCTTAAATTGCACTGTGAGAGACCTCCTCCAAATTGCTGTTAGTACAACCCCTGTTCTCTGCATGTCCTGATCATCTTCTGATTTAGATCCTATCCAAAGTGCTGTAATTACCTTATCCTCTTTAATCCAAGACATGTCATTATCTTGGATGATTTTGGCCTTTCTGCCAGTTCCTTGGCCTCTCCATCTCCTCTGACCTCCACGTCCACTGCACTTCAGTCCTCTGTGTTTGTGGCCAATCCAGAGCTGGTCATCACTCAGCGCTGCTCCACTGTGCACATCATGTCCTCCAGTGCCCTGCTTTCTGGCCAATGTCCCATCCTCCCAGTTCTCCTACTCCATCTGAACATCAAGTCCCTTTATGACTCCATTCTTTCCAGGCTTCATTTCTGCTTCTGTTCTAATGAGGACTTCAACCTCAATGTCCCGAACTGAAGTTTTTAAAACCCTAAACCTATTCTTCCTCCTATATGCAGTTAGTGACAGCACCAACCAGGCAAGCAATCTAAAAATGCAACATCCTTGTTTTCTTCTCCTTCCCTTTCCTGATACGTCCCATGAATGTCTTAAATTTGTCCTTTCCTGTCTCTAGAAACAATGTCTAGTTTTAAGAGTCACACTCTATCTTTACTGGACTAGTAATATCTTCTAACTAGTCTTATCATCCTGAAACTCATCCAACAGTATGCTGGAGCTGGATCATACCAGCTAGTAAGAGCTGGTTGTCTGTTTCTCTTCCTAGCATGTGTTTCACGATGTCATATTGGTAGCTCAAAATTGGTATGAGGGTGGGGGGGGTATTATCACCACAGAAATTGGCAAATGCCAATGATTTTCCGGTGTAGAGTTGGTTGTTAAACATTTACCATCACAGCCAGGTGCTGTGGCACACACCTGTAACCCCAGCAGCTCAGGAGGCTAAGGCAGGAGAATCACAAGTTCAAAGCCAGCCTCAGAAACAGTGAGGCACTAAGAAACTCAGTGAGACTCTGTCTCTAAATAAAATACAAAATAGGGCTGGGAATGTGGTTCAGTGGCTGAGTGCCCCTGAGTTCAATCCCCAGTACCAAAACCAAAAAAAAAAAAAAAACAAACATTTACTATCACAATTTATCATTGCCTGTTTCCCACACTCTGGCCAAACTGATCTTTGTATCATGTCACTCTCGTGTTTAAAACCTTTCAGTTGATCCCCATGACCAATGGATAACATCTAAGTCCCTTAATGACATTCAAGTTCTTTCATCATTTAGGCTTTGCTTAAATATCCAGCTTCTGTTCCCATTTCTCCTTAATCCCACAAGGGTCCCAAACTGGCTCCCTCAAAGCAAATTTGCCTCACATATATATTGTGTTTGACTTGCATACTGTCCTTAAATTTATTTATTCCAAAATTCAAAACTTTAAGAGATTCCGACCCCAAATCCTTATTTCTAACTTCTTTTGAAAAATTACAATGTGGGGCCTGTTTTGAGCTTAAAAATAACAATATTCAGGAGCTGAGCAGCAGGTGCACCCTTTGAGAAGAACTCTATTGTTTAACAGTACCTATCATTCAGTCATCCAAATTATGCATATACACCCATACCTGCACCTCATATCTGTTACGTGACTGGCACCTGTTATAGACCATATCATGATGTCTAGATTATTAGCAGAAACTCTGACCCTCATTTTAGAACTTTCTTTACATCAGCTATCCTAATGATAGTCTGTAGTCCATGCTGAACCTTAGAAGGGCAAAGCAGCAGAACGATGAGAATGGAAGCAACAGAGGAGATAAAAGTAGTAGAAATCTGTGTTCTATGGATCAGAGGCTCCATAATGAAGCACTAGAATTATGAAGAATCACACTTCATTGGAACTGTCCCAAGTTTTTGAGACCTCAGGGTAGTTTTCTTATAGTGTTGAGATGTTTACCTTCTCAGCTGGACATAATGAGAAAAATCCCAAGGAAATTAGCTCATACTGACCCAAATTTGGGGAGTCATATAAAAAGGGTCAGTGTCTTAATTTTAGGAGAGGGGATTTCATTCCTTTTTGCTGAGTACCTGCTATGTGTCTAACACTGTTATGAATGCTTTAGGGGAAAAAGAGAGCAGACCAAGACTGTTCTACCATTAGGGCAGAGCTCCCAACCATATAAAAGGAGGCAAGACACAAATGTTTGAGATAATTAGAGAACAAGGTAAAGCTGCATGAGAAAAGTGATTGGGATAAAACCTAGTGCCCACAATATTTGGATAGGCAGCAAGAGATGGTCTCAAAGTTAGGAGTAGGAGCTTACAATGGCCCTTGACTGACAGAGAAATAGGGTAAGAAACAGGGGCCCCACCTGGTTATTCACACAGGGAGCAGTGAATGAGAACAGTATGGCAACCTAGGAATGACTACACTGACTGGAGGATAAAAGGCAATCTAGAAGGGAGATCCAGACACACCCTCCTCCAACACCTTTAGAGGTGACAGAGATTGAAAAAAACCGCCCCTATCCAAATAAAGGGCAGATTTCCCAGCTAGGAGCTCTTTTCTTCCTGGGCAGACTGTGACAAATTGCTCACTTACCATCTCTCCCAACTCTAGGCTTTATTCTGATTGTGTTTATGTTCATTTCCAGGCTCACTCAGACCTACTTCTTCTTTAGCCTGTAGGCTTATGTTAATTTCTGAGATTATTCTTTCCTGTGTCCAATTTACTTTATGAGCCAAGTTGCTCACTTCCTGCTGCTTTGTTTGTAGCTGCTCCTTCTAAATGTTTAACAATGTTTACTCACTGCTCCATCCTAGCAATTGATGACCAAATTGCAGCAAGCTTTCAACTATTCAGAGGCTGATGCAACCATTCCAGAGGAAGCAGGTTTCTTGCAAACTCCTCCTCCTCCACCTTTCTCCCACTCCCTGTCTTCTGGCCACTTCCCTGTTTGGGAATCCCTCATGAAAGGTGGGAGGAAGGCAAAAATGATGAGAAACAGTAACTCATTCTTTTGTCAGGTTGCCAGTAACTGTGGGTTGTTTTTTATTTTTAAGAAGTTTTAAAAGTAAAAAGAAAGAAACTATTGATTAAAACAATATAGGAATATTTTGTGAGTTTCTCAATTTCCATGCTCTGTTCTTCCCTATAAAATGGAATCATTGGAACTGTTTCATTTTCCCTTAAGTATAATAAGGTCAATTTTTCCCAATATTCTTGACTCCTATCTATGCTTTGAATACTTAGCTCCACTCTTCCATAAAGCTTCCTCTGACCTAGTCTTCCCCATACTCTAGCTCAGATCCTACCACACTAGACTCTTCTGCAAGGCTAATGATCTGCCTCAGTTTCTTTACTGGACTGAAAACAGACTGGGTTTCAAAAGACACAATTTTGGGTACTGAGGATTGAACCCAGGTGCTTTATCTTTGAGCTACATTCTCAGTCTTTTTTATTTATCTATTTTGAGACAGGGCATCACTAAGTTGCTGAGGCTGATTTTGAACTGGTGGTCCTCCTGAATCAGCCTCCTGAGACACTGGGATTACAGGCATGTGCCCCTGTGCCTGGCCCAAAGAGACATCTTAAAGTTGAAAAAAATAATTTAAGTTCATTGGTCATGTTCCACATGCTTCCCAAGAAGTGCATCTGAATAGCCTTAAAAAACTCTATACCTCTCACCTCTAACTACTACTTATACCAAATATTATATAATAAATATAATAGTCTTATCAAAGGTCCTTTAGCTATTAGTAACCCCACCACCCAAGTCTAAAGTCCTCATTTACAAAGTACTTCTTCCTGACAATGATGAATTTTCTTGAGCTTCCTAGGACCTAGAGGAAGTTGGAAGAGGCTTCTCTTCAGCCACCAAAGCTTGATTTAGTTGCAGTCTTTAAGATTATTGTCTTTACCCTTCCAAACAAGTTTATACAGCTCATTTGGAACTGATCACATACTATTATGTACTGTTACCAATTTTATGTAAGTCTGATCTACCCAACATAACTCCAGAAAGCAAGGAACAATTTCTATTTCCCCTATTCTATGTTAGACAGATCTTGGCATATTGTAATAACATAATTTAAGAACCAAACTCTAAAGTCATACACCCTGGGTTTAAATATTGGCTCAGCTACTAAAACTATGTAACTTTAGATAGTGATATAGATATAGATACATATACACACATATATGTATGTATAAATATATACAGATTCAAGTATAAATAAAATATAATATACATATAAACTTAAATATTTATTTTACTTACTTACTACTAGGGATTGAACCAAGGGGTGCTTAATCACTGAGCCACATCCTCAGCCTTTTTGTTTTTATTTTGAGATAGGGTCTTACTAAGTTGCTTAGGGTAAGTTGCTGAGGCTGACTTTGAATTTGTGATCCTCCTTCCCCAGCTTTCTAAGTCATTAGGATTATAGATGTGTGCCACCATTCTTGGCCATATATGTCATTTAATTTCTCTGAGCCTCAACTCCTCAGCTTACCTCAGAAGGTTGTTGTGATATTAAATGTGTAAATCCATGTAAAATGCTTAGAACAGTGCCTTGTCACACAGTAAGCATTCCACAGACATTAGCTACTCTGGTAAAGACAAGTGACAAGAGAATGGTAAGAGGTGACAAGAGACTCCAGTTTCTAAATTGCCATTTGATGGGCCCTATGCTCCTTCTCTCTACAAACTTTAATCCTGCCCTTCTATGCTTCTCCTTTCTCATATCTAGGTCCCCACACTGATGATGGACACCCAGTTCTCTGAGTTCACACCAGACATCACTCCCATTATGCTGGCTGCCCACACCAACAACTATGAAATCATCAAATTGCTTGTCCAAAAACGGGTCACGATCCCTCGGCCCCACCAGATCCGCTGCAACTGTGTGGAATGTGTGTCCAGTTCAGAGGTAGATAGCCTGCGCCATTCCCGCTCCAGACTGAACATTTATAAGGCTCTGGCAAGTCCCTCACTCATTGCCTTATCAAGTGAGGACCCCATCCTTACTGCCTTCCGTCTGGGCTGGGAGCTCAAGGAGCTCAGCAAGGTGGAGAATGAGTTCAAGGCAGAGTATGAAGAGCTCTCCCAGCAGTGCAAGCTCTTTGCCAAAGATCTGCTGGACCAAGCTCGTAGCTCCCGGGAACTGGAGATCATCCTCAACCATCGAGATGACCACAGTGAAGAGCTTGATCCTCAGAAGTACCATGACCTGGCCAAGCTGAAGGTGGCGATCAAATACCACCAGAAAGAGGTAAGCTTAGATCATCTCTGCTTTCAGAGAAGCTTAAGACCTACAGAGTCTGGAGAAGCAAAGCAAGAGTGAGCATTTTCATACCACTTGGAATTCTAACAGATGAATGGTTGGGATGGCTTCACAAATAGGTTCATTTAGCCAATACACAGATAGCCTCTATATATTTCTTCATAATCAGAAAAAGTAGCTATCTGGTTCTTTGATGGGAAAGCATTCATTCATTCAACAAATAGTGTTCTAGGCTCTTGGGATACAGAACACAGTCCCCAGCCCTGCCTTTTTGGAGCATACAAGCTAGAGTGAAGATTAAATGATCCAAATTATGCATATACACCCATACCTGCACCTCATTTCTGTTACCTGACTGGCACCTAACATAGACCATATCATGAAGTCTAGATTATAGCTAAAAGACCTTTGATAAGACTGCTATATTTATGAAATAAATGAGAATACTAGTGTTCAGTGCATGACATAGGAAGAACTTTTTGGTTTTCCTTCTTTCCTTCCTTCTTTCCTTCCTTCCCTTCCTTCCTTCCTTCCTTTTTTTTCTCTTTCTTTCTTTTGGTATTGGAGAATCCAGGGCCTCATAACATTAGGTGAGCATTTTTCCATTGAAGTACAACCCCAGTCCCAAGTAGTGCTTTATTATCCATTCCCATATTGTTTCCATTGCTATCTGTTATCTGATTCAAACAGTAGGTTCCTGCCAGTTGAAGGGCAAATAGCAATACCATCCCTTCATGGATCCAGGTTCTGAGGAAAATCTCAGTATCTGTTCACTTGATACCTTTCCCTCACAACAACAACAACAACAACAACAATTACGCAGGGTGCAGTGAAGCAAGCCTGAAATCCCAGTGACTCTGGAGGCCGAGGCAGGCGGATCACAAATTCAGAGCCAGCCTTAGCAAGTTAGCAAAGCCCTAAGCAATTTAGGGAGATCCTGTTTATAAATAAAAAAAATTAAAAGGGCTCAGTAGTTAAGCACCCCTGGGTTCAATCCCAGGTGCTAAAACAAACAAACAAACTATAAAACTATGCCTTCTAAATGGGACAAAAACAAGTGTCAGGGGCAACTTTGAAGGTAATCAAAAATGACAAAGCAGCAACATGGAGACTGAAAGGGTTATCCCAGGGAGGGGAGGTGGGAAAAGGATAGGCTTACCCCTAACTCTCTTTATCCTATTTTTGCTGTTGTCTTGCTTTAATTGAGTTTCTTAATCTTACTTTTCTCTTCTCAAAAGTGTGGATAATAACAGGAACACTTACCTCCCTGGAGAAATTTAAAGATTAAATAAAATAGGCAATGTGATTATGTATAACACAACAGTGGGCATACATTAGGGATTCCATAAATATTAGCTGCTATTTGTTTTCATTGTTACACATGGAAGACCCTTGATATATGGTCTGATTCTGTGCATTAAAATAACAGACACAGCCAAATTCCATCTTCTCTTATCCATTTCTCTCATTGACTCTGCTGATACATAGTATCAGTTATTGTGTTAAGTGCTGTACTGCAAGGTCTAATTGATTTTTCTACACTTTGGCATCTTTACTATTTCCATTAATGATGTATATTACAGCTTCAGTGTTTTTTCACTTTACATAAATTGCTACAATACTGTGAGAAAATATCAAAGGTATTTTTAGAACATGAATTGTTTCTAAGTGACAGAATGGTTAATGAGAAAAGAATAATTTTAAAGTAGATATTGCAGAATATGACTAAATTTTTCAATTTGCACTCCACTGAATAGGAGCTAAACTTGACAGTTTTAGGCTCCATCCACCCCTGAAAACTGACAAATCATTTATTGTCAGACAATGTTTCTGCAGCAATGTCATTAATTTTGTATTGTTAGATCATCTTCCAGCTATTTATTTTTTAATTTTTTTGAGAAAGAGAGAGAGAGAGAAATTTTTAATATTTATTTTTTAGTTCTCGGAGGACACAACATCTTTGTTTGTATGTGTGCTTAGGATCGAACCCTGGCCGCACGCATGCCAGGTGAGCGCACTACTGCTTGAGCCACATCCCCACCCCCAGCTATTTATTACTTGAACCCTCCTGCTCATATAATCTTTTTTTAAAAGAACTTAACCTTTATTTTATTTGTTTGTTGTTGTTTATTTTTATGTGGTGCTGAGGATCAAACCCAGGGCCTCACCTGTCCTAGGCAAGTACTCTACCACTGAGCTACAGCCCAGCACCTCATATAATCTTCCATTGCCAGTTTTAGTTACTGCTCCACTCTGTTGACTTTCTCACTCTCATGGGGATCAGTTTGAGATATGACCATGGAATCATCCTTGGTTTCTACATTAATAGCCCTTCAAATCTCATGAAATTTTCATCATTTTTCCTCTTTGTTTTAGTTCTTTTACTGCCCTGAAATTTGCCTCCTATGTTCCTTACTTCATATTTTCTCTTATTATTGTTATTAAGAATGTCTTTATGTTACTGTGTGCTCATAGAGTACATTTTTCAGCTGTCATTATACCTGAATGTACCAAGGAGTTATATTTCTTTTTGCTTTCTTAATTCTGCAGCAGAGATTCCAATAATTTTTTCTGGGAGCCATTTGTATGTACATTAAAGTGGAAGGAGTCACATTTTTACTGTGGGAAAATATACATTATATTAAATTTGCCATTTTGACCACTTTTACATCTTAGTAGCATTAAGTACATTTACATTGTACAATCATCATTGCTAGAATTTATTTCTGAAGATACCTAAATTTGCTGAGCATGCTGGCACACACCTGTAATCCCAGTGGCTCAGGAGGTTGAGGCAGGAGGATAACAAGTTCAAAGCCAGCCTCAGCAAAAGCGAGGCGCTAAGCAAGTCAGTGAGACCCTGTCTCTAAATAAAATACAACATAGGGATAGGGATGTGGCTCAGTGGTTGAGTAACCCTAAGTTCAATCCCTGGTACCCTCCCCCAAAAAAGAACAATAAACTTTCATGGGCCACATAAACCCAAATATGACCATAGCCAAATATTTTAGAATTATTTTGAGACATATATTTTGCTCCAAACTTTCCAAGATATTTATCTTAGTAATAGCTATTGATCAATTTTAGATTAGTTTTTCTTCAAACTAAGCCTGATGAACATATTAGGCTTGGGATATCAGATATATCTTAAGGTTGGTATTTTAAAGGCATTGCTTGGGGAATATAAAACATGATTTATATTCATCAAACTATAAATTCCTTCTGAATTGCAACTTCACATTCACTAAAAACTCTGTAATTCTTCCAAGTCTGTGAATTACAGTTTTTTTTTTTAAATCTGTGGTGCCATTAAGTCTCAAATGTGTTCAGTTTTGTATTTCTCACTATTCAATACATATGTCTAGTTTGAGTCTGAATATTCTCACTTCCTTGAACAAATCAGCAATATCCTTGCTTGGGGGGTATTTTTTTTTAATTTTTAACTTTAATGTGCTTGGTAAGAAATACAATCCTTAGTTACTGAGCTTCCAAAAATTCAGTTTTCTGTGAGAGTTTCATTCTTAAAAGTCCCTGATCTGAAGAAGCAAACTGTTCAAAAACTATCCATAGTCTAGTCTTTGAAGAAGTGTAATGTACATATAGCTCTTAAGGACACGAACATTAATTTAAAAGGTCATGATCTTGATCATTTATTTTATCATATTATGCAGTACACTTGACTATCCATTTTTCCAGTATAAACTCTCTTTGTATGTGTGTGATGGAACTAGGCAACTAACAAAATTCCTCAAATTCCTGGAGCTATATAGTTTATGTGTGTTAACTCAACAAAGAGAAAACCATTGATGTCTTAAATGGGTCACACCCTGGGATCTGGTGAAACCCCATTCAGTTTGAAAGTTATGTGTTAGGAGCCCCCTAAACATGTTTAAAAAATAGCTGTAGATGGACACAACACCCTTATTTTATTTATTTATTTTTATGTGGGGCTGAGGATCTAGCCCAGTGTCTCATATATGCTAGACAAGCACTCTACCACTGAGCCACAACCCCAGCCCCCTGAACATATTTAAGACATTTTTTAAGATAGGAACAACAGTGGAAAGAATCTGACATCACTTTTATAAATGCATATATGAATACAGCACAGTGAATCTCAACATCATGTACAACCACAATCCTAATTAGAATAAGATATAGTCCATGTTTGTAGAAAATATTGACAAAAAATAAATTTTAAAAACACCTGTTGTGGGGCTGGGGATGTCACTCAAGCAGTAGCGCACTCGCCTGGCATGCGTGCAGCCCGGGTTC